GATTTTTAAAAATCGCCCTCCCAGAGGGCGGCGAAAATGACGTGGCAGCCGGCCGTTCGCTCTCGGGCGACGGCCGTCAACTAAATTTGCAGGCGGCCCCCTTGCCGCCCTCCGCTAGGGCGATTTTATACTGTGCGGGGGGCCGCCTGCAAATGGGCGGCGAGGGGGGGCATGGAATTTTGCAGGCGGCCCCCTTGCCGCCCTCCGCTAGGGCGATTTTGCACTGTGCGGGGGGCCGCCTGCAAATGGGCGGCGAGGGGGCATGGAATTTTGCAGGCGGCCCCCTTGCCGCCCTGGGGGAGGGCGATTTTGTACTGTGCTCTATATTTTTTTTATATAAATATCAATAGTTAGCAAATCTTTTTATATTGAAAACTATACAAGATTAAAATCTCCAAGAATGGTAAAATACAATTTTATTATTTTTTAGGGCATATTTGGATTGTTACCGTACAAATATTTTGTTAGTGCCAAAATATAAGCAAGTTTTGGCACTACCAAATATTTGGTAAGGTAAAATTGCATTTGATCATATTTGGTTTGCTGCAAAAATGTAAAATTGTAGTGAAGAATGTTGTACATAATCTCAATTCTAGATTACATATTACCAATTAATAGGCTTCCATTTTCGTGTGTGGTGTGCTAGTGGGAAAGAAGATATGAAGAGGTTGCCTTCAGATTGTCAATTATATAGCGTCGTTTTCATTGCAATATATGTGACCTCAATGAGATACATTATTCATTAGATGTGACAAGACGATCACGCGTGGGCGTGATTCACTTTATGTCGACAGGCAGCGCCGAAAGTTGATAGTGATAACTCGAGCTGCCGCTTTTCATGTGTGCTGTTGTGGACTGTGCGCGCTACTGGATATGGCACTACCGTGAAGCGCCGAAAGTGTGTTGTTGTGAGCATAAGTTGTTCAAGCACCATATGAATGAAAAGATCTACGTAGACGAGACAAACACAAGTAGTACTGCAGTAGTAATAGCAAAAGTAGTACTGCTTTACAAGTTTGTAAGCCAAAAGAAACGGTCACATAAGGACTGAAGAGGTAGAACACTACTGACGAGGCCTCTTACCCCTGTCCCTCCTACCCTACGCCCTAATGTGCCCCTGGGAGTACGTGAGTCTGTCCGGGGGTACGGCACGGCCAACCCGTCCTGCCTGTACAGGTGTGACCTCTAGCTGCTCCTGAGTGTGCGCCTCTGGAGCTCCTCCAAGCTGAGAGGAGCCTAGTACGTCCTGGTGGTCTGAACCGTGCAAGTCGTCGTCGTAGAACTGGCTAGTAGAACCAGTCCTACCGGCGTGAGACGAAGAGGCCCCAGTACCGAAGATCCCGGCTGCATATCCTGCTGGACAAGGACCATCAGTTTTGTACAAGTATTTAACAGTAGTAATAAAAAGTAAAGTACCGTGTGGGCGAGGGATCGACGCTCCGTGAAAGGAAGAGCTGGCGAACGCGCCCGAAGAGGTGGCGAACGCCCCTGCGGAGCTCGTGGAAGAGCCGGTCGTGCCTGCGAACGCGCTCGAAGGCAGACGAGGTCCTGCGATGAGGAAACGTGCAGTTAAAACATGCTTGTTGTTCCTTCACCAGGTGGTCGCCTACCATCACTTGCCTGTCCAGATGGACTAGCATCTGCGCCGCTTGGAACTTCTGCATTTTTCGGGCATTTCTTGTAAGTATGGCCGCGCAGATCACACTTGCTGCAGCGTAAAGTCCTCCCACCTGCTTCTGACTCATCCATATCATTTCTGATGCGTCTAGTTTGGCGTCGACCCTTTTTCACCCTTAACTTAGATGGATCAGGAATATAAAAAACTTGGGCACTCAGCGTTGTGTAAGATCCTGAGATCCCGAACCCATATATTTCCTCACTCCATGTATGAAAGATTGCTTCTTTCCTGAAATAATTTGAGACGTACACATTGGGAGATATGCCACAATCACCGGCAGCAGCAAGAACGTGTGAGCAAGGAAGGTGATGAAGCTTCGGCTTCATACAACTGCAGGTACATCCACCATCCGCCTTCAAGACACATTCCTGCACGGCTTGCTTGCGATAGATACCACGCCTGCTCCTATCAACACACATTATTTCATACCGATGCACTTGTGTGCCTTGAGCAACAACTCTATGTCTCCGTGCCTTTTTGATTTTATCTTCCATGTACTTTGTCACTACGTTGCCAAACACTATGTTGTTATCGGCCATGGACGGACCAATTTTCTTGTATCGATCCCTAAAGTAGGCTTGCGTGCCGTGAAGGATGAATTCAACAATAGCAACCAATGGAAGTACCCGAACTCCTCGCATTACCCAGTTGTACACCTCTGCCAAATTGGTTGTCATTATGCCATACCGAGATCCATCGGTGTCGAACAATAGAGACCACTTCTCCTTAGGCTCATTCTCAATCCACTGACTGAAATTTCTGATGGACGACCCTGACCTCCTTCTCATTGTTGGTGGGTCATCATGTAATGCACCAAGAGGTATGGGAGGCTCGTCACCTTCAACTTGTGGTCTGCGAGATTGCTCGTCTGTTTGCTTCGTTGTCAACTCATCCAACTTGTCCCACAACTCATTAAATTTCTTCTCTTGGTTCTGTGCACAGAGCCTCTTAAATAGCTCCATAAGATGCTTGTTCTTGAATTGCTTGTAGAAATTTGCACCCATGTGACGTATGCACCACCGACTCCGAACATCAGGCCACTTAGCTGGAAGTCCCTTCTCATCCCAACCGTTCTGCAAGTAGTCAATAGCCCGCAACATACCCGCATGACGATCATGTATAAGGCAAACGTTGGGCCTCATACGCACCACTGCAATGTGCACTCTCTCTAGGAACCAGTACCAGCTTTCAGTGTTCTCACTCTCTACAAATGCAAAAGCCATAGGTAGAACCTGGTTGTTCCCATCACACCCAATTGCTGTCAATATCTGACCTCGGTATTTACCTGTCATAAAAGTTCCATCTATGCATAGAACAGGTCGACAATGCACAAAAGCAGTGATGCAAGCACCCAATGAGAAAAAGGCTCTTTGCAGCACACTCTTTGTTCGATCATCAACCGATGTAAATGTATGTAGGTCATAGTAAGTATTATTATTCCTCTGGGCAATTGTGGCTAACAAACGAGGCAAATTATCATAAGAAGCTTCAAATGTGCCATACCTCATCTCAATGATCTTTTGTTTGGCTCTCCAGGCCTTTGCATAGCTTATGGTGTACTTGAATTTGTTCTCGATGTGCCTAATAATTGATTTTGGTTCAAAGCCAATGTTACCAACAACACTGCTGTACATCTCACTTGCCACAAAAGCTGAAGTGATGTTTCGGTGATACTTCTCCACCCCTTGTAAGTAGCACTTGTGCTCGGTCACAATGCTAACTTTCCAATAATCATTCCATTTACCCTTATATGCATGGACACGCCACGGACAATCTTCCTTCATGCACCTCACTTCATACACATAATTTGTTGACTTGACCACCCTAAACTCTCTCTGCAATGAAACTGCCCAATGCTTCACCGCCTCCTTCATCTCATCCTTATGAGCATACCTTGCACCCTCAATTACCTCGTTCTCCTTATACTCCCAGGGTACATGATCACCCTCTGATATAACAAGTCCAGAGAAGTCCTCATTTGCCCAATCAGTGGCCATTACATCACCTTCTTCATCGGATGATGCGTCGTCCTCCGCTTGCTCATTATCCGAATCTTCCCTCTCCATTTCATCAACAATTATACCGACTCTCTCCCCCTCATCCGCCATGCCCATGGCCTGCTCCTCCCTTGGTTGATTTTCCTCATTTTCCATCGATGGTCCAACAACATCCCCTGCATTGCTAGGACCCTCCATATCTTCGGTTCGCATTGAAACATTTGTATCTTTCTCTTGTACCGACACAAATATAACGAGGGGCCATGACCGTTCAAAAGCCATTTCCACATACCGTCTCCAAGCAGCAGTGCTGTCCATCGGCATTAGTTCCCAAAAATAACCTTCTATTGCACGACTCACTACAACAGATACTGACATTGTGTAGACTTCTTGGTCTATTCTAAATCCTCTCAACAACCAACTATAAATTGACTGAAATGTTCTCTCCGCAGGCCTATCGATGCCCTTAGATGTCATTACAAAATCTGACAGATCAACACCATCTGGACCAAATCTAATATTTCCTTCACCGTGAACTATCTGAAATGTGACCTTACTTGACATTGTGCCTGATGAAAACATTAACTGCGTTAACCTCGCATTTCTGTACTACGCCCTAAGTTATATTCTCTACAATATTGTCCTCTAAATTTCTAAAAGTACGTTACATTCTCCAGATCAAACTAAACTACATCTTACAATTAACACTACTGTCTATGTCTCAATTCATACTATTATATTCTATGCTCTGGATCTACACATATGTGCTGTGTGCTACAGATGTGCTAAAATATATGGAACTAAAACTAAAACGCAACATATATACTCAAACATAACATATTAGTACAAATGCAAAAGATGTATGGGAGCATACCTGTGATGAAGTGAGTGAACCAGCAGGGCTTCGCCGCTCCCCTTTTGCTGCCCTCCCCTCTCTCTCTTTCATTTTTTTTGGATTTTTAGTGAATATAATGAAATTTCACAGAGGATGGACTGGGTTTTATAGGGGGGGCAAAAATCGCCCTCCCCCAGGGCGGCAAGGGGGCCGCCTGCAAAATTCCATGCCCCCTCGCCGCCCATTTGCAGGCGGCCCCCCGCACAGTACAAAATCGCCCTCGCGGAGGGCGGCAAGGGGGCCGCCTGCAAATTTCGTTGACGGCCGTCGCCCGAGAGCGAACGGCCGTCTGCCACGTCATTTTTGCCGCCCTCTGGGAAAAATCGCCCTCCCAGAGGGCGGTAGGCGATTATTTCCGTCAATTTTCAAAATGGAAAATTGTTTTTGTAAAACTTTTAATAAAAAAAATTATAAATAAAAAAAACTCCATAGCCCTAGGCCTTCTCTTCCTCCTTTCCACCTCTCTTTCCCTCTCGTTCGCCGCCGGAAGCTAGCGCCGCCTCGACTTCTCCGGCGGCTGAAGTCAGTGGCCGAAGGAGCGGCGGGGTGTTTTCCCGCCTCGAAAGCTCACCGCCGGCAGATCAGGCGGGAGAGAAGGCAACCGCCGTCGCCTCGGGAGCTCCGCGAGACGATCTCCGATGTCCGTGCCCTCCGTCAGTCTCCTCTTTCCCTCGTCGCTCCCGTCCACGCGAGCGGCGCCGCCTGTATCCTGCTGCTTCCTCGCTGCCGCATCCTCGCCCGTGACCACCCGTACGCATATCCTCGCCTTAACCTTCGTAGCAATTACAGTTTTGTTTCCGAAAATATCGGGGGTTCAACTGAGCCCCAATGCTTTTCGTGCTGCTACTGATGTGATTCCTTCGTCCCTCCACTACCTTGGTCAATCCAGTTCTGCATCGGTGAATGTCTGGGATGGCGGATGGGTCATTTCTTGATCGGATGGTGTCTCAACTTCGGTCAGCATGCAGGTGAATTTGTAGTCATCTTTTCTTTGTTCTTGATATGGAATTTTTCGGCATGCCATGAATCTTTTATTTGGAGAAATTGAAGGCATTTTTGGAGAATAGTGACACCAGAAATTCGGGATAGAAAAAAGGACCTATAGAAGTAGAGACAACAATGACTGCCATTTCGGCAAGAGATGTTTGCCTCATCAAACATCATATAGTATCTGTGAAATAATAAGGACCTAATATCGAACTAAAAGTCACACCATCTTTTTTAATCATGTCTGTTTTGATGAAATGGCAGGTACTACACTGGATATCCCAAGGATCTCGGGCCATCAAGAATTATACCATTCACGTCAGAGCGTCAATTCGTGCAGCTGTTGCATGAAGGCCGTCCAGTAGTTGTTGCCTTTACCATTAAGTATATCTACCCTTCCTTTGTTTGTTCTTGATTAAGAAGCACTGGCTGGAATATTTAGTCTCATAATAGTTAGTAGATTTGCACATAGTACACATAGTAATCCTCAAAATTGCTTCTGTAGGTGCACTTATACTCATCACCTTGACAAGGTACTGGAGGAGGCTGCTGCTACATTTCATCCACACGTAAAGTTTGTTCGAGTAAGCTACTTTCTTTAATTCTGCGGCCTTAATGTTCAAACACCATTGAATTGTTGTTAGAACACTAGTAATGTCACTATTTAGTTGGAAAAGGTGGATAACTACATGTTTAAATAGCACTGAAAGCCTTGCAAGTATAAAATATCAATTGATTTATAATTGTCTGCACAACATAATCTAGTGTAACCTCTGTGGATGTCCAGACTCCAAAATCCATAGACAAACTTAAGAGTTTCAATCTATTACTTTGTTTCGTGTTCACTCGTGAAATCCCTGTGCTTTATTTCTTAACATGTTTCCATATTTCTGTTGATATATTTATGTCCTGCTTTCTGTCTCATTCACAACACAAGCAGCTCTGTAGAGTGTTTAGATATGTAAATGGAATGAACCTTTATATAATTCTTGATTCTTGATAGATTTTATGAATAAAAATATGCTTGATCAATTCAAAGATGAAACATAACGCCTAGAAATCTTCAACTAATACTGTTCCATAAGGTTTGTATCATTTGTCAAATCATTCGATCGATTTTTGATTTCCTGTTTACTTTGGATGCTTCTCTATTTATATAATAGAATTTTCTAAGAAGTTAGATCATGCTGTTCATCCCGGTTATTACCATTTCATGGTGCTACTGCTGTCACCTGTTTTCTTTCCTTTTCTCTCAAGTCTCAAACAAGTAGACATTGAATATTTTTTCTGTGCTCAGGTTGAATGCCCAAAGTATCCCGGATTTTGCCTCACGAGGCAAAAGAATGAGTATCCGTTTATTGAAGTATTTTACAACCCAGAACAGGTTATAATTTGTGTACTTAACATTTTCTGGTTTCCATTTTGTCCTCTCAAATTTGTGGTGTACTTCCGTTTCATACTCTCGTCATTTTATTAACTTCCTCTGGCCATCTTAATGTGAGTCCGAGTGGCAATATGATAGATTATGGTGCTGATTATCTTGTTTTTTTTAGGAATATAAATATAAACAAATTCAATGGAAATTGTTCATTTTGACTTGTTGGATCTTTAGTGTACCTTTTCCTACAGGATCTTTACTTGACATCTATATTCCATATCTCTTGTTTCTGAGCGAACAGTTTAAGCATGACCTAATATAGTTTGCTCTGTCTCTTTATTTTACTTGAGATAGTATCTCTATTTCCCGCACTGGAAACAGAGTAACCTCCCATGGCTAAACAAATTCGTAGTTTGTTCCTAGATTTTTAAATATGGATCATTTTCTAATTATGAAATGCTTAGCTGTGTATACGCTGGGGTGAGATCAGCTACACGTGTGATGGATCCAACAGACACAACTGTTGCTTTCAGGAGACAATCTGTTGCACAGATAATTGCGAACAATTTCTGACGTGATGTGGTTGGCTAAGGCTGATTTAGGGAAGTAACTGCGGTTAGTGGGTTCCAGTTGTATAGGAATATAGGATTCTATCCAGGCATATCATATGGCACCAGGCATATCATAGGGCATATAATTAAGTCCATCTTGTTTATCCCTATGACTGAATTTTGTTTTACCTAAGCATCTTATTAGCCACTCCCTCTGTCCCAAAAATAAGCCAATCGAGGCAATGGGACGGAGGGAGTATGCATGAATAATTTTGACCTATGGTATTTGTAATGATTTGTTCTGCACTTTCTTAGGCTGCTAGCCCAGGAAAGGCGGTGGACCCTAATGTCACAAAGTACTCAGTGAAAGTTCTCCCTGTAAGTAAATTCCAAACTTATGGTACATAGTCCTTCAAATTTGAACTTTACTGCATGAGTGGTTTTAGTTACCGCAAAGAAGAGAATACTTGTCACTTGTCAGTCCTATGCTTCACAAACTGGCTGACGTTTTACAGTTGAACTGATGTGATGGTTTGTACTTTCTGCAGTTCAACTATGACCAGAGCGTGTATGGATTCCGGGAATACTTTAAGAAGCACGGATTCAAGTATTTTGAAACAAATTAGATCAACTATTGAAAATCGTTGTGATGAAACATGATACTAGTTAACAAACCATCTTTAGGACGTTCGTTCCGCCTATACTAGAACGCTCCTGTTAAAAGCTTGTCTGTATGTGCCTATGTGGCATTACCGTAAAATGCTTGCTAATCGGTTCTCAATGAAAGATGGCCAGGCAACTATCGATCTCCAGTCTGCAAAGACAATTAACACTGGATAGGTTCTATTTTGCTGCATGCCCATTTTTACTGTAATGACTAGGCTTTCAAATTCGGTTGTAAATTCAATGTCTTAATTAATGGCTTAGTATGCCTCAACCTTTGTTACATCCCTTGTGGAGTGCAGGGAAGCCGTTGAAGTCTATTAGTATTACATATTGGCATATTAGTCATGCAACAATGCCCACGTGTTTTTAGCATCGAATTGGACGTCGATTTTGATCAAGGGAATATTTAATAAGGGTGATTAAGGGAACATTTGCGTAACAAATACTCATCAGAAGTTAAGGGTGATTAGGGAAGATTTGCGCAACAAACACTACTCATCAGATCAGATGTAGCGAAGAGGATAAAGGGTGATTAAGGGAAGATGCCAGGTCTTTGGCAACCACCAAATAGAGTGAAGAAAATATACAGAAGCAGCGGCATCCATCAACCCAGCGGCGTGTTCACTTTGTTGCTCAAATCGACCTTATCAAATTTTGGTAATGCAAGTTTTGGTATAGTTTGGCACTACCAAATTTTGGTCGGGTTGGCTATGTTTTTAGTTTGATGTCTTTATCAAATTTTGGTATAGTTTTGAGAGGAATATTCTTTGATAGGGTACTAATGGTTGGAGTGTATTTAGTTTATTGCCCGACCAAATTTTTGTATTTTCAAATTTTGATAAGGTTCTAAGTGGCAACAAACTAAACATAGCCCTTTTGTTTGTTCGGCCTAGACGTGGTGGGCCGATTCGAGCACGGCAAACTTTGAGAGTAGAACTTCTCGCTTCTGATTATCAGTCATATCGTCCTTGAGCTGAACATGCAGGGAATAACTCGTCGAGTTCACTTGAAAGAATGGTGTCCATGCGAACTGACTAAGGAGAAGGGTGTTTAACAAGTGGCTATACGGATTAAAAGTCCAATAATGAACCCCGGCTATATATAGCTTTTTTTTTAAAAACACAGACAGCAAAATATTTGTGGGATGTTTTTTTTTTCGACGAATCGACGAGCCGCCAATTTCATTGAATAGAGTAGAAGAAAACTGTACAGGAACAAAATATTAAAAGCTTAGAACCGTGTCCCTATGCCCTTTGACTATTTACAGAGTTAGCCAAGTAGCGAGGTCTCTCGCACTCACCAGACCTCATGTCTTTGCTTCCTCCTTGTGCTGATTTCATCTCCAAACTACTAGCACAGTCAGCGTGCGTAGTGCCTTCTTTGGCGCTTCTCTTGTGTTTACCGTGGCCTCTCACCACTCTTGCACCATTGAGGCTGGTTGCCATAGAGTAGGGCTTAGGTGATCGCATGTTGTTCAATGTGCAATTTCATCCCAAATTCTTCTTGTGTATCTGTACCCTGCTAGGAGGTGAAATGCCGTCTCGTGGGCATGGCGACATAGTGGGCAAGTGGAGCTATTTGGATAGCCTCTGATTGCTAGCCTATCTGAAGTCCAAACTATGTTTTGGATAACTAGCTAGGCAAAGATCTTGCACTTACGTGGCGCCTAGGGCTTCTAGATGAGGGCATTGAAATTGGATGTTGTTGTCCCTAGGAGTTGCGCCTTGTAGACCGACGTCGTCGTGTATTCAACGTGGTTGCTTAGTTTCCATGTGATTTGCTCTTCTTGTTCTGTGAACTGTATGTTCCGAACCGCGCTCCAGACGGTGATGAGTTGATCGATCATCTTCGTTGTCTAGCCCTCGCTGATTGGTAATTCAAGGTCAGCAGCCATTGGTCCACAAGAGCGGCTTGTTGGAGAGCAGTGCTCTTCTTCTTGGAAATCGCATAGACTAGCGGGGGCAATATCCTTCAGCCTTCTCCCTTTAGCCAAGCGGAGTCCCAGAATTTCGCGTTTGCCCCATCACCAATTTGTATTGTTGCTGCTGCTACGAACAGTAGCTTGTCGGTGTCATCGCATGGCGTTTCAGATCCCATCCACGCTTTCTCCAGTGACTTCCATTCATGCCAGAGCCACTGTAGCCGGAGAGCCCTTGCAAATTTCTCGAGACTTAGGATGCCGAGCCCTCCCGAGGCGATAGGGAGGTAGGTCCGTGTCCAGTTGACTTTACACTTCCCCCTGTGAAGTTTTCATCCCCTGCCCATAAGAAATTTCTTCTCTGCTTGTCCAGCAATTCGAGAGATTCCTTGGATGCTCTCAAGCCCATCAACAGGATGATTGGTTGGGATGTGAGTATGAATTTTACTAAGGTGGAGTGCTCCGCTAGGCCTATATGCCTCCCTCGCCACCTAGCCATGCGGCTCATTGATTTGTCATAGAGCGGCCGGAGGTTGCATCTGCGCAGCCTTCCGGTGGATAAGGGAAGTCCTAGATACTTCATTGGGAAGGCTGCTCTAGTAGCTGGTATGCCATCCAGAATGTTGTCGAGGTCTAGGTTATCACAACTGATTGGTGCAACCTGCAATTTCTGCAAATTCATGCATAACCCTGTTATTTTGCCGAAACGGCGAAAGAGCTCTGAGAAGGCCCTCACATCCCTTTTATCTGGATTTATGAAGACAGTCGCGTCGTAATGGACATGCGAAAACACACGGCTTGGCCTCGCAGTTTGTTGATTACACCTATCTCAGTGGCTTTGTCCAGCAGGCGCTGTAGTGGGTCCATCACGAGGATGAAGAGGAGCTGGGATAGAGGATCACCCTGTCGCAGTCCCATGTCGTGGTTTATTGCCTAACGCGGGATTCTGTTCAGAATAATCTTTGAGGTGGAGGTGGATAAGAGGCTCGTTATCCAGCTTTGCCATTTGCGGCAATCCTCTATTTGGAAGAAGGGCGAGGAGATAGTCCCATCTTACCGAGTCGAAGGCTTTGGAGATGTCCAGTTTAAAAAGCAAGATCGACTGTCTACTTTTTATGGTGTTTTCTCACCATGTTCCTGACATACAAGAAGTTATTATGGATAGTCCGACCATGGATAAAAGCGCTTTGATTTGCCAAGATCAGCAAGTGCATTAACGACCTTAGATTGATGGCTATGACTTTGGAAAAGATTTTGGCAAAGCCGTGAATCAGGATTATCGACCTATAATCTCCAATTCCCTTTGCCCCCTCTTTTTTTTTGGAACGAGGACCATGTTTGCTGAATTCAGCAGGTTTAGGTGAGTACTTCGAGCGTCGTGCAAGGAGTTGAATGCCGCCACGATATCGTCCTTGATGATGTCCTAGCATGACTTGAAGAATTTCCTCGTGAAGTCGTCCAGATGTAGCACCTTATCAGATGGCATTTTGTTTATTGCCTTACAAATCTCTGCTTCTATGAAGGGGTCATCCAGACTAGGCATCTCTGTCGGGGCGATCCCTATGGAAGACCAGTTGAGATTGTATGTCCATGGCTCCGGCCTGCCCATTACTTGTGGGACCGTAGACTGCCATCAGGACAAAACTCTGTGTGCTGTTGAGCAGTGTGACCCTCGCTGTGATTGAGAAACGTCTTAACAACTTTATAGCACTCAACAAAATTTATACAAAATCTGTAGCACTCAACAATATCTACAACTTTGTAATAGAATACTTTTTCATTTGAGATCGTTTAGGGGGTCAAATATTAGTTAGTTCGGCACGATATACAAATTTGTAGTTGATGACATTTTTGTTTGATGTAATTTGTAGTTGATGACATTTTCATTTGAAGTCATTTCTAGTGCAAAATATGTGTTGCAAGTTTTATGCAAGGTGAAATCCTATCCATAGCTCCTATCCTTAGCTTTGAATTACTTCATAGGTGAGATGGTAGGAGACCATGCGCGTAGTGGTCTCAGGCTCGAATCCTATATTACCGCACGCGAGTGTAAAATTGCGTTACTTGCTACCCTTTTTTTGCACGTAAAATCACATGACACGCCACCGTGCATAGATGCCTACTACAAAAAAAAATTTGAGCTTTTTTACAACTAAAAAATAAAAAAACTGAAAATTAATTTTCAAGGACGGGTCGTTAAGTTTCCACATGCTGTCGGAATTCTGCCCAAGTAAATATCACGATTTCCATAGGCCCTTGGAACTTGGTTGCAGGCAGGTCCAAAAACACCCATCTAAACCACTTATGAGCTGCATAGACAAAGTATTTTTAAGTAGTGCTTCCGTGTTTCTTAGTCATAACTCCATAAGTAAATATAAAATGTTTGCGGATGTTGAATAAATGCTTCAATAATAGTTTTTGCCAATTCCTTTATAGGTTTCCGAATTTTTCTATTAACTTTTTCTATTGTTGATGTTACACCACTAGCTCTTAAATTTCTGGAATTGGTTTGGGAAACATTTTCCATCATTTATTCAAAATGAAATGTGCGTGTTGCTCTAATAACTTTCACTGCCATCTCACAAGGTAAAAGTGCAGAAGCAAAGTTTATCCCCGGCCTGATGAAATTCGATAGCTAGATCATGCTGGTCCTAAATTATGGGACATGGTGGCCGTGACAGAGGTATGGCATGAGAATTCCGGCACTATTGATATGTTGTCTGGAGAAGTCAAATCCAATACGAGATAATCTGATTGATTCATTCTTGTACTCTGACACAACATGGCTTGAAAAAATATTTTCGAATTGAAGAAGGAATAAGCATCAGATCAAAACAGAAACACATTCATTTGTAGAAGAGAGGAACTCAAATTGAATCAGATAGCTAAATACCACCTTTTCAACTATAAAAAAACTGGAAAGCATCATGTTTCTGTCCAATTATACCGGTGAGCTTTGAATAGGGTTAACCACTGAACTTTTTGCAGGAAAAACACACTTCATTGGTTGATGAGTATGTTATTTTTTTTTTCAGATAATGGATAGAAATCCAGCATGGATATCCACATTTGGATATAGTTATACGCAGCCAATCAATAGTATGCTAATTTAGCCACCTATATATAATTTTATTTCATTATATTATTGTTTCTATAATCTGAAACTGGTCTAGAAAGATCAAAATGGAGCTTAAAATGTCATTGATTAGGCTCTGAATAAAGTACAATCAACCACTAGATAAACTTTAATTTGTCCTAGATACTACAGGTGAAAAATTTACCTCTCCATAGACACATAAGCTGAAGATACTAGAGTGTTTCTCAAATATTTCATGGAAAAACAGTAACCCTTCTGATGTGATTGATCTTCATAAGATATGTGTTGGAATAATTTGAGTCTTCTTTTTGCTTAAGCTTCTTCGTGAGCTCTTTCGAAGCCCCTCGCATATATAATTCCTCTAGAGTTATGAGATGTTCAATGCCATCAGGGAGGGTCTTCAGCTCTGGACAATCAATGAGTGTTAATCGAATAAGGTTTTGCAATGCACTTTGTTCTATTACAACATCATTCAGCTCCGGAGCATCTGATATTGCTAGTAGTCGGAGCGATGGAAGTGACATGGCATTGAAATGCAGTTTCTTCCCTTCATAAGCCTTATCAAGCCAAATTCCCCGTAGACCATTTAACAGCAAGAGACAAGAAAATGAGTTCTCATCAAGTTTAGACAAGGCTAAGGTCAATAAGGTGAGGTTACCAAGATCTGAAAAGGATGAGACAATCCGAGGCATCGATTCCTTGTCCAGCTTCCCTCCTAATTCAAGCTTTGAAAGAGATGGGGGTAAACGGAGTCCATCCAATTCGAGTGTTTCCGTCTCATTTATAGCCATAATAGAAAGACTAGCAAGATGGTTCATGTTCATGATAGCATTGCACAAATCAGAACATTGTTCTCTCCTCACCTGGGTGATGGCAAAAGTTCTTAACTCTGTCAGAGCACCAAGATGACACAAAGTCTCTGAGTTAGCCTCAACAAGTTGTAATGCTTGCAAGCTTTTCAAGTTCCTTATGCCATTAGGCACCTGAATTCCAATCCAGGGAACAACTCCTTTAGTACCTTTCCTTGGATCAGTAGCTACGTAAAGATATCTCAACTTATGAAGATTTGCTATACTCTGTGGCAAACTGACTAGCCTCGCATTGAAAGCATCCAAGACTTCTAATTTTTGTAATCTTCCAACTGTTTCAGGGATATCTTCAACGAAAGTGTCTCTAAGACACAGAAAATGCAGATTGAACAACTTAAAAAGCTCTTTCGGTAGCTTCCTGATTTGGGTACCTTGCAGATCCAGAGTTGATAGCAAGTTGAAAGATTTCAAGAAAAACTTCAGTGAATCACTAGTCACCAACTCATTGAAAGCATAGATTGCACGGAGATGGACCTCACTAGAAACAGTGAACTTCTCTATATCAGAACTTTGGATTGATAGACGACGTGTATTTTGTTTTGAAGTAGTTCTGGAGCCATCATAAACACTACAGAAGCTTTCCTCATTTGATTTGGTCAGAGCAAGAATACGAATGATATCATGCATTCGACAACTCCGCACTCGTCCACTTTCATTCCTCTCCACTACCTGTAATAAGCTTCGGTTTACAAGTTCATACAAATAACCCTCAGCCACATCCTCCATTGTCTTGTGTTCAGTAACTGCGATGAATCCCGCTGTGACCCAATGTCTAATCAGCCTTTTTCTCTTAATCAAATAGTCCTCCGGAAATATTGTGCAGTGTAAAAAGCAGTTTTTCAAAATATATGGAAGGTCGTCCAAACTGAGCTTTAGAACAATATTAACATCAAGAATCGCATTATTGCTCAGCTGTAACTCTAGTTCTTTGTATAAATTTTCCCATTCAGAGTAACATGGGCTTTTGCATGACAGCAAACGACCTATACATGCAATAGCAATAGGTAAACCATTGCATTTATCCACAAATCTTTGCGCCAAATTCTGTAGATCCAATGGGCATATTCTGTCCTCGTTCCAAAATGCTTATTTACAAAATAACTCCCAAGAATGGTGCGCTTCTAGGGGTTTCAACTCAATTTTATGATTTCCAGTTGCTATTAATGCTATGTCATGGACTCTTGAGGTGATAACAAATCGACCAATGCTATTGGCAGGAAAAGCCTCTCTAATCTTGAACCACATATCAACACCCCAGACATCATCCAGAACCAGCAGGAACCTTTTCCGTTTTAAATAATCGCGAATGATCTCAACCAGGGTCCTCTTTTCCATGTCAACAATGTCAACACGGAGTTCACTCTTTAGATCATTACTATTGAATCCCTTGATAATCTGCCTTAACAATTCCTCAACCTGATACGCTTTTGAAACAGTTATCCAAGCTGCACTGTCAAAGTCTACCTTCACATTGTTGTAAACATGGGCAACCAATGTGGTTTTGCCTACTCCTCCCATCCCACACACACTGGTAATTACACTCTGCAGTTGCGAATCACACCTCAGCCAATTCATCAAAAGCTTTTTATTATCATCAATACCAACAAGATCTTCCTCAGTTGGAAAGTATGATGTATGATCAGTATATCTGCAATTAGCATCACTTTGTTCTGCATTTTTCACCAATCCTGTCATATCATATCGGACCTTTCTCCTATCAACATTCTCCAGCTTTAGTTTGATATCTTGAAATTTGAATGCTAGACGGTGCCAAGTTTTAATGTGACAAATCCTCTGCTTTATCTTTGAAGCCAACCCACCTTGTTTCACCTCCATCTTGGAGGTGAACTCGTCAACAACATCCTCAATCTCGAAAGCAATGCAACGGATCTTCTTGATGAAGTTGGCCGTGGTATTGTCAGTATCCTTGAACCTCTCAGCTCCTTGTAGGAAGGATTGCATGCTCTCCAACTCCTCCTTCATATCACGGATCTGACTAAAGATTCTAGCAAGAGCAGAAGCCTCATGGCAGAGCCAGTTTCTACCAACCCTACTTGTGTCTGTTGCCAAGGCTAAACCAAGCTTCAGAATTATAATTCCAACAACACCCTCTGCCATGGTAATATGTTATTAGACCTTGAGCCTTGACTTCTTAAACGGGGAAAATGTCTTCAACCTGAAAGAATAAGGGTGAAAACAAATCAATATAATGGAATGAAGAACTAAAACCATGCCTTAAACAAAGGGATAAATTAAAGTTTAATAATGATACCAGATGGCACAGATATATAGGCCATTGCCGACAGGGAAGTATAGACTACATAATATGATCTTCAAAACTTAGTGTGGTTAACCTGTGGCCTGGTCGTTTAATAATGTGCTGCCACAGAGATTAAAAGTGCATTTAGTTCTCATCAACTCCATAGGGTTCCTCCCACACTCAACTCTAAGTGTTACTGTGGGTGAAGCTGCATTTTTGACACCCCTCATCTTTTTATGGAAACTCAAAAGACATACTTCAACATATGGATTTTGTTTGCCATATGGGGTATACAAAAGTGCCATTTATAAAAGATAGAAGAATCAAGCGTGCTTGTACAATGGTAAAGTGCCCAAGTTGATGGGCAGCCGACCCAGGCTCGAACCTGGGTTTCACACAAAAAACTGCACTCGTGCATTGCAGGCCGTAGGAGAAGTGTGCTCCTATGTCAGGATTAGTGTGTCTGGTCACACACCACATTCGGGGGTTAGGGATGCAAGTGAGGCGGGCAAGCGGGTTTTTTTTTTCCCGCTTATTCCACATCTAGCCTATTTTTTCTTCTAAATTTTGTACTACCATGTGGGAAATAAACTAGTACGCGGGTTTTATGCGGGTAGTGAGATTGCCCACTTGCATCCTTATTTGGGGGGATTTTGATTTAATTAAATGCAGCGGGACGTGTTAACTTAGTGGTCGATTTTTTATAAAAAAAAGTAGAGGAATACAAGAGCTTCAGCTTAGTGGAATACAAGAATTTAGAAACTTAGTATCACCAATCGCATGTTTTTTTTTTTTTTGAAAAATCTTCTTATCAACCCATAGCCCAGCCAACTGTACTGAGCAGAACATGAGAGACAAGAGGCAGAATAAACAAACACGCACAAGAACCGAACAACATAAAAACAACACACTAGATATTACAGAAAGTTTAACCATTCCCCATTCAAGTTTCAAAATACAACCTATATCCTCCTCTTCTTAGTCCCTCCCTCAAAGACTCTGCACCATAAACTTCAACGGATCTGAAAGCAAAAGCCAGGGCTACACAAAGCCGAACCTCTATATCTACTAGCTTCTCCAAATAAATTTTATCAGGCATAAGGAACTTAAGACTTGTGGCCTGAGGCTTAAACGATGTAAATCTTTGACAAAATAAAGTTACGTCAAAAGAAGCTACCCATCCCCTGATGCTCTCACACATGCAACTTGACACTACACGGGACCAAAAGTTCAAAAACATATAAGTAAACCAAGGCAATTAGTGATCAAATTGAGGCTACTAAGGCTCATGGTTATAAGATTAAATATCAACACACTTTGTACTTTTGATATACAATTTATTGTTTGCATGGTAAGTATAAATATTACTACTGCGTTGGACCATAAAACAAAAGTGTTAGGCCATTATATGTGTGTTTTTGCAGTGTTTGTTTCTCGACCACTATATTTTCAGGGATTATAAACATGAAAATATATGCGTGGTGTAAAAAGAAATATCATATCTCTCCTCGTTCTAAACATATATTTTTTGAACTAATTGCATTTGTCAGATGAAAAAAGATGTCGATGTTTTGCACAAACTCAATTAAATATGCAGGCGGTGCTAATGTGGTAGATGCAGAAGGAACAGTCAAGTCAATCTATTTTCTCTTCAAATCTTCCAAAAGAAAAATATATATTTTTTTTTGGAATAATCACCGGAGGGGAGAGGTTCCCCACCTGAATTTCCATTTTATAAAGGGAAGTTATAAGTTACAAGTTTGAAGCATGGACAGCTGCCAGCGGCAGGTCATTGCAAATGTAGAAAAGACAGACTAGTTGTAAAAATTGTAGTCCAAGCAGTGCTAACTAATCTGTCTGGCCGTTTTAGTCGTTCTGCCCAAAGCGATGATTCTTCTCTGCATCTGTTGAGTAGCTTGCTGAGGGAAGGTTGCAGGTTGCGGAAGACGACCTCATGACGATGATTTCAGATGCTCCAAAAGCAGAGGAGGTAGAAGGTTTTGAAATGTTTCGATGGGACTGCTGTAGTAGGAGCTAGTACATGTAATTGAGAGACATCTGTCACATTCAGAGCAATCCCGATTAAGTTCCAAAAGCTTGATGTGAATGGGCAGTGCAGGAATAGATGGTTGGCATCCTCATCACGTAACAAGCAGACCTTGCATTGAGCGGATGGAATGATAGTTTTGGTGTGTAGATTTTTTGAGGTCGGCAGTCTGTCTTTTGCAAGGAGCCAAGCAAAGAATTGAACCTTATGGGGAGCTGAGTTGTCCCAGACAAAACCGCAATTTGGGTCTGAAAGTAGGGTAGGCATAGTGGCATTATAACTGAAAAATATATTTTGTCTTCAGAGAACCCACAGCACCCTGTTCCGCTGGAGAGGCTGTCACTGATCTCAAAAGTGAGTCTGTGGTTTGGAGCCAGTTGAGCCCCTCTGAATTAGTTGATACAGATGGGCATGCACCCAGAGGATTAAATCGGCAACCCGTGCCCATGAGGTTCGCGAAGTTAGGGTGAATTCAGATTGCAGATGATGCTTAGCAACAATCTCATTCGTTTGGATACAACTATTTCTGCAGCCTAAGACTAGTGAACATTATGTTGCTGCTGGTTTCAGATCCATGGTTGTAGGCTTCGATATCTATGTAGCGAATAGAATTCCATTAGTACCAAGGATGCTGCTAAATCATAACATTATCTTGTTGAATCATAACGGGGATCGAATTTCATCCTATGGAATTCTTGTGGGAATTTATAACTTCATAACATGATCTAATTTATGCAACTATTCAGACACTATTCTGCACTTTTGATCCCCGTTATCCAATTGGGCCTCAGCTTACAAATTAACCACCAAGAATAACAATAAATGAAAAGGCTAACTTACTAAGTAAAGATGTATCACCAGACCCCAATAAACGCCCAAGCAAGTCAATAGGAGTTAATAGATAAAACTAACAAAGAATATTTTTTTATTTTGCCTGAAACAACTCAGAAATTACTAGGGTTGAAGAATCTCGGATTGAACAAGAAAAGTGAGATTGGGTATAAAGTGGAGGACTAAAGAACTCACCTGCGGCGAAATCCAAGCTCCTGAAGCGGCTCCGGCAGCAGGAAGAGAGGGCCAGGTGAGGCTCCGGCCTCCGGGAGAGTGGTTCTTGAGTCTTGCGGTGGTCACTGCTCAGCCGCCATCGCCAGCCTGGGAAGTGGGAAGCAGGAGGAAATGAGGAGTGGAGACTAGCCAGTACATGCACTGAAAGTCAGCGGATTCCTTTCAGTTCCAATTTCTTAATTAATTGATACTACCTCCGTCCGAAAAATATAACAATTTTTAATCTGATTTAATCTAAAATATAACAACTTCTTCACCAATATTCTATACACAACCAATAACAACTCCCCACCATTCAATTTTCCCACCTATCTCCACTACTCATTTAATCACAACCCTCCACCATTTGCTTCTACATACTTTCTTAATAATTGTGTCCAACTCTAAAACTTCTTATATTCTGAGATGGAGGAACTACTTCCTCCATGCCAAAATGTAAGCATTTTTAAGGTTGACACGGGTATTAAGAAAGTAGATAAGAATGATTGAAGAAAGTATATAATTGGTTAAGAAGAGAAAGTATATATGAAAGAGAATGATTGTGATTTATTGAGAAGAGAAAGTATATGAAAGAGAATGATTTTGTTTTATTTTTAAAATTGTCAAAAGTTTGCTTCATAAGCCACGTCAGATAAAGACCGGGTCAAAATATCCACGTAGGTGCCACGTCAGCTAAAACTGCTGTCCAAACCGCCATGGGATCAATATTGCACCGGTTTTGATATTTGAGAGACTCGTTTTATCTTGTTTTTTTGGTTGAAGAATGAAAATCGGATTCATTGACGAGTTAAGAGACATCATAACCAGGTCTGTGTTCGTTACTCATGGTTCCAAACCCATCACTCTCTTTTTTTCGCACGCACGTTTTTCAAACGGCTAAACAGTGTGTTTTTTATAAAAAAAAGTTTATATACGAAAGTTGCTTAAAAATTGTATTAATCTATTTTTTTAAAAAAAACCTAGTAATACTTAATTAATTATACGCTAATGGACTACTCCGTTTTTCGTGCGCAGGGCATTTGTTCCAACAAGGGAAAACGAACACAGCTCCGTTTCCCTTCCCTTGTTCCACTAAGGTGATCAGCTCAATTGGGCCTCGGCACATCTAAAGCAGGCCCGTGTTACGGCCCACAAGAGTTTGGGAAGCGGCCCATGTATTGTCTCCCTTCGCTTATGCTAGCTATGGAAACTTGCAGGAGTTTCTCTATTTTTTCTACGTGCTTGGTAATTACTACAATTTCTAATGTTTTATAAGACTATGATTACGGTAGTCAAGGCTTCAACTGTTTTATCTTTTTTTATCAAAATTTGTCATTCTGTTTTACAAACATCCATAAATTCAAATTTATTTCGTGTATTGGTCAGAATTTTGATCTTCTGTTAGAAAAAGGAAGGACTTTTATACATAAGAAATGAGGAAACGAGCATCAGAAAGAGGTTACCGTTTAGAACAAGCTAGTGACTACATTTTCCTTTAATAATAGAATTCATTTCAGTCTTTGCTTTAAGTAAAATACAACTAATTATTACAAAGGTTACAAGAATGAGTGCGAATTATAAAATCATAGCATGATTAATGAAAAAAAAAAGACCTACTTACTTCAAGTGACTTGATGTGACAGGAGTGGTGTTTTGCGAACTCGTTGGAAATTTGGGCGCATGCATTAAATATAATAAAAATAAAAACTAATTGCACAGTTTGCATGAAAATCGCAAGACGAATCTTTTGAGCCTAATTAGTCCATGATTAAAAAATAGGTGCTACAGTAACCCACATGTGCTAATGACGGATTAATTAGGCTCAAAAGATTTGTCTCGCGGTTTCCACGCGAGTTATGAAATTAGTTTTTTCATTCGTGTCCGAAAACCCCTTCCGGCATCCGGTCAAACATTCGATGTGACACCCAAAAATTTTCTTTTCGCGAACTAAACAAACCCTAAGTAGGTTTATTGGGGCTCTGCCATTGCCGTGGACTAGATGTGTGACATGATCGTGTTTTACACCATTTCGGAAATTTGGGTGCATTAAAGTGGACCAAAATAATCAATGAATATGCATGAACATCCCATATTTCAGAATGCATGGACATTTTAGGGAGATGAAGTTTCAAAATTTTGGAATTTTTTTTTAAAAAAAAAGATAAGGAAAAATCTGAAATTACAACCCCCCTCCCTCCCCCAAAATAATCATGGTCATCCGAATTACCCCTTAAATTCTAATACCAAATATATTGCACCCTCACCTATTCAAATCAGACAAAACAAACACCATAATCTATTTTAAGCTGGTTATCATCCCACGTGGCAGCGGGGTTTGGCCCCGTAACAGTTCAGATAACACAATAAAATTAAATTAATTGCAAGCCCCACATGTCAGTCTTATCAAGACCTCAGCCTCCCCTTCCTCCTTTTTCTCTTCTATTTACTCTCCCTAACGGCAGTTACCCAGCACACTGATGAGCTCTATCATGACAAGGTAGTGAGCTCGTCCATCTCTGCCTCAAGCTCGCCCAACGAGCTCTATTTCTTCCCCCATCTGCCTAGGCTCCATCCAGCTTGTTGTCGACGAGCATGAGTATCGCTGCTAAGTGCATCTCCTCGAGGTTCATGGAGGATTTTACAAAAGGGGGACATAGAAGTTCAATGGAGGAGACAGATTGGATGCTTGAGCTCGGCCTCCGCGAGTTTGTGGAGGAGGAGGTGGAGCGACTTTGGGGCCCAAGGAGTCAGATCAGATCAGGATTAGCTCCAGGACTCCGCTGTCGGGCCTCCCCAATTGAACTCGAGGTCCACCGCTCACCGCCACCTCCACCGCACTCCTTGCCAAGAGAACATGGCCATGGATATGGAGGCCACTAGCTCTACCGCCCGAGCTACAAGCTGCCACAGAGCTCGCTCGGTGGGGGCGTTGGAGGTGACGTTCAGCAGCAGAGGGGCTCGCTTAGGGAGGGCACGATGATAGAGCTCAATCTTGCCTCAATGAGGCAGAGAGGCGGTGTATAGGGTGCCACGGCGAAGCTGGGCTCTCAACTGGCAAACACCTCACATCCATCGGTGTCGCCATCGCTTCCGAGGCTAAAACCTAGAGAGATAGGAAGAGGGGTGGTGGCGGGGTCATTGTTGTTGTTCGCGGTTGCAAGGAAGAGGATCTGATAGGTGGGGCCCTACATAATGTTTAATAAAAAGAATGCCCCACATAATGTTTAATAAAAAGAATGCTGACTAGACTGTCACATAGGGTCAAAACCGCTCTCGATTAAGTCTAGGGGTTATTTATCCAACTTGAATAGTCGAGGATACAAAATATCTACTTTTTAATTCACGGCGGTGATTCAGATGATCGTGGTAGTTAGGGGGTAATTCTGACTTTTTTTTAAAAAAAAAAAAGCCCAAATGAACTTTCACTGATTTTGAAAGATTTTTTGATTAAAAAATTGAAAATTTCGGCCTTAAGCGCATCCTACCAATATCTACCGCCGATAAATGTAAAAATTCAAGAATTCAAAAACTTTGGTCCAAAATTGTGAACCCTGATATCAAGAAAGTGAACATTTGAATGGTATTGTATAAACCAATCTTCTATAACATCCATGGGAATGCCTAATATTACCATTCCGGTAATTTTCTCTGGCATTAGTTGCTTTCTGACATATACTAATTCTCTCTTCCATAGCCTCGTCGTCTTGCAGTGAAATGCTATGTGATCGAGCTCTTCCACAGCTAGAGTTGCTACTCCAGTAGTACTCTCTCCGTATTTTAATGTACGACGCCGTTGACTTTTTATCAACGTTTGACCATTCGTTTTATTCAAAATTTTAATGCAAATACGCAAATATTTATGTCATTCTTAAAGAACATTCGATGATTAATCAAGTCAGAATAAAATAAATAATAACTACATAAATTTTTTGAATAAGACGAATGGTCAAACGTTGGATAAAAAGTCAACGGCGTCATACAGTAAAATATGAGGTAAAATATAGAGGTAGTACATACTAGCTCTGTTCGTCCTGGCATTTCTTTCCCAAAGATATCAGAGGATAGGACGTTGCTTCGTCGTCCCTGGATACGGAGTACATATATACGTACTGTTCCATACGTACTTGCTGTCATTGCATGATCGATCACTGTACCATATGTATATACTTGCCAGCAATCGATCCATGCTGTAGTTGAAACCATGCACTGCTGCAACCATATTGTCAGTTCAGACTGTTGTGAAAGGAGTTCAGAGACCTCTCTACTGCCCTAGTGTTTAGATTGTGTTTAGACTTCAGAGTAGCTAGTTTACTTCAGTCAGTTCAGTAGTATACTGTACAGGAGTATAGTGAGGCTGATGGGGCATGGACACGAGGTGCTCTGATGATAGCCCTGCACTATACTTACGTGCGTACATGTACTATACATATACGTATACGTACTAGTAGCAGGAGTACGTTGCGTGTGCCTGACATTTCTGAGTCATTCAGTCCTGAATTATGACATCTCAAGTGCCAAAAGGACCAGATGCATATGTGCTCTTCATTCAGAGACAACCAGTCAGCTGCATCTCTTCGATGGATGATGGTCTTATAGACTGTTTTTTCTCTTCATTGATGCAAAAGGCATGCAGATTTCCATATCAGGCAGCTGGTTCTTGAAATTACAGGAGTATAATAAGTTTGTAACTCGTGACTATTGCTTATGAGAGATCAGAGATGACATCGGAATAGCCAGTCTCTTTGTCTGCAAATACAGATTCAAATTATACATGCAGAAGCACCTGACGAGAGATCTTCAGAGTAGTACTCCTACTTCAGTTAATGTTTGTGTACAGACATGTCGTAGGAAATCTCTGATACGATTTTTCAGAGAATGGTCTAGCCTTTCTTTTGTCATGTCGAGGTACTACTGTACAATATTCTGGTTGCAAACTGATCTCACTGAAGACATGCAAGAGATGTTCAGATTCAGAGTTAGATGAGAGATGACAAATGGGAACCATCCTCTTGAAGTTCGTCTGCACATATGATGTCATATATATATGATCCCAAATTAGACACAAGGACCTCGAGAGCCCTGATCAGAGTAGTTAATTTCTGTCTATAGACGTGCCATTGGAAATCTCTGCTCTGATCTTCAGAGAATGGTCTAGCTTTTCAAGTCATGTCGAGGCAGTACTACT